GGTGGCAACTGTGTCCAAGTGCTGCTTCAGCCGCCTTTGTGGCTCTTGTGCCCAAAGAGGAAGAGTCACCCTCTGCCCCAGGCCTGTGCATCAGCATCTTCTGACTGTGGTGACTCCAGCCCCAGGGCTTCGACTCTGATCGCTGAGCTGGGTTTTGGCCCATGAGACTGGAGTGAGAGGTCTCCTCTGTGGTTGTGCAGTTGGCATAATTGAGGCAAAGGCCGTGACAGGGAGCTGGTCCCTGTAGATGGGATCAGCTGTGTGGCAGCTATCTCCACGGCACTGACTGGATTTGTGCGTGGCACAGGGCGGTTTGTCTTGTGACCTGCAGCACCCAGCCTGATTACTTGAGCTTCCCGTGACTCCCTTGCCACGTGTATGTTGGGGTGCTTCCTGGGAAGCAGGACTGGGCTCACTGGTCCCTGGTATGCCCTAGTTTTCCCACCCTGGGTGGAGACTGGCTCCTGAGAGCTGTGGCAGGCAGGTCCCAGATGAGCTGGTGGGCTCTGGGGCAATGCACACTTCCTTCTGCCACCCTCCTGCTTGCTCTCATTGCCCAACATGAGAAGTGGTGTTGCTGGGGTGGGAAGCTGGATGAGCTGTCTGGAGGTGACAGGGTGGAGGCTGCCTGAGCATAGGAGACTTAAGCTTGGCAAAGGCTGGTGGAGGATGCATGCAGGGAGCCAAAATCCCTGTACTCCTGGCTGTGTCACCAGGCAGGACCCCTGGACTGCCCTGCTGTCAGCAAGTGTGATGTGTGTCTGGTGAGAGCATTGAGGGGAAAAAAACTTTTCTCTTGTGTCTTCTTCCCTCTGGGCTGCCGGGGCATGAGCTGTCACAGCTGAGATGTACTTCCCCAACCCCAGTGGCTGCAGTTGCCCTAAGTGCTGGCTGCGCCTCTGAGCTGGCCTGACTTCCTCTGCCTTGCTGCTGGCGCCAGGCAGACCTGTTTTCCCTGCCAGTGCTGCTCCCAGCACGGGTCTGTCTGGAAGAGGATGCTGTGCTGTCAGGCCTCTGGCCTCTACTTGTGCTCTGTCCCTGCCTGACTGGGCCTTGCTCTACTGGACTGGCTCCATAGAGTGCTCTGCTGACAGAGCTCCAAACAAGCCTCTTGCAGGATCAAATCCAAGGACGTGTTGGCAGTTGTGTGCTTTCACGTGGGGCTGATGAGAGGATTGCCTTTGGGCCTGCTTGGGGGAAGTTGCTCTGCTGTGTGATCTGGGGATGGCTGAAGTGCTCCTGTTCCCTCAAACCCTTCCTCTTCCTGTTGGATATAACCTTGCTCCTACCTGCCCTGGGTCAGTCCCTGGCAGACTGGGATTGCACTGGGATTTCCCACTGAGGTGCTGGGACATATGTCCCACTTTTATGTTGTGGCAGGAGCTTGGCTTGGGGAAGTGTCACCCACTCTGACTGGGGCTGGTGCCAGCCATGGGGAGGAGGGCTGGTTGTGTGTCCTGCTGAGTCACCTTGGAGCAGGGGCTGCCAGCCCAGAGCTTCTGTGCAGCCCCCTGGGGTGCCTGACCCACGGGGGCAAGTGGCCTTACTCCTGCCCTGGCCCTCTTCTCAGCTGTGTGGCTTGACAGTGCTGGCTTGGTGACAGTGCAGCACCTAGCACAAGGCTTCTCTGCCCTCTGCAATGGTGGGGGGTACCTGTGCTGCTCTCCCTGCTGTCGGGTTGATGTTTGAGGGGCTAGTGGTGCTGCTGGTACCAGCTGTTGGCCAGTTTGGACCTGCCTGTGCCCTTTTGCACACAGTGTACCCAGAGCCAGCCCCTCTGCTCTCTCTAGCTGGGCCCCCCAGCACAGAGCCCTGGGCTCCTTAGGAGTCCTCCAGCTGCTCAGCTGTTCTGGCCCTGTTTTCCCTGGTCAGTTTGGGATCAGCTCCGTTCAGTAGATTTTGGAGCCAGGGCAGAGATCACTGTCTGCCTCCCTCTTCTGTATGAACGTAAAAAGCAGTGGTAAGCAGTAGCTCTCACCAGCCATCCAAAGGTCACTTTGGATGTTTACCAGGGGACAACAGCATCACTGTTGTCTTTTGAGACAAGGAGGGTTGTTTTCAGATGCATGAGCTGAGTATGAAACTCTTTGGGCAGCACCTTGCTCTAATGGGATGGGGCACTGGCTGGGGAAGGGTCCATCCCAGCCTCTGCCTGCCTTCCTCCCAGGAGCTGTGGAGTCTGCCTGGTCCCAGGGGCTAGTTATTGCCCTGGCGAGTGAGAGTTTTCCGAGCACGTTCCTGAGTGTTGCCACTGCAGGCTGGCTCAGGGAAATGTGTCCTGACTCTGCAACTGCCTTGATCAGCCTTCCTCTCTCCTGCTCACAGAAAATCATTGGCGTCTTCAAGCCCAAGAACGAGGAGCCATATGGGCAGCTGAACCCCAAGTGGACCAAGTGGCTGCAGAAATTGTGCTGCCCGTGCTGCTTTGGGAGAGACTGCCTTGTCCTCAACCAGGGCTACCTGTCAGAGGCAGGTGCTAGCCTGGTGGACCAGAAACTGGAACTCAACATCGTTCCCCGCACAAAGGTGAGAGGACAGCTCCTGGGATCTTGTCCTGAGAGGCTTTCCGGTTCTTCTGCATAGCTCTGCACCTTGTCTTGTGGCACTGCTGACCTTGGAGATGTTGTGTTGAGAGCTCTGGACCAGGACTGCTCCTGCTCAAGCTGTGGGGATCCTAGTGCTGGGCAGGGTCATGGGAAATACTGTGTCTTGGCTTTATCAGCCAGTTCTGTGACAATTGCCAGGTGCTCCTGCTGACATCTGCACTCCTGTCCCCCTAGGTGGTGTATCTAGCCAGCGAGACCTTTAACTACAGTGCCATCGACAGGGTGAAGTCCCGAGGAAAGAGGCTGGCCCTGGAGAAGGTGCCGAAAGTTGGCCAGCGCTTCAACCGCATTGGTCTGCCACCCAAGGTAGGGCTGCCGGCCTCTGCGCCTGCCTGTCACCGCCTCTCCAACCTCTACAGCCTCCTGTAATGCAGCCTTTCCTTACTTCAGGTGGGCTCCTTCCAGCTCTTTGTGGAAGGCTACAAGGATGCTGACTACTGGCTGCGACGGTTTGAAGCCGAGCCGCTCCCAGAGAACACCAACAGGCAGCTGCTGCTGCAGTTTGAGCGGCTGGTGGTGCTGGACTACATCATCAGGAATACAGGTAGGGCTGTCTGCCCGCCATGGGATGCTGCCTGCTCCTTTATGTCTTGCCAGCTGGAGAAAGAGCAGGGGGGCAAGGACTTGACACCTCTACCTGGCACCCAAAACTCCTCTAAACACCACTTGGTTGCTGGCAGCTGCCTCTGGGTGGAGTGTAGCTGCCTTGGCTGCCTACCACCTTGACCATGCTCTGGCTGCTGGCCTGTGTTCTGGGAGATCTGGATCCACCACAGTGCAGAGGTGAAAGTTTGCCAGCTGTGAGGATCCGGGGACATCTGGAAATCCAACACCTGACTGTGCCCCTATATATCCTATCTCACATGGGGCTTCTGAATTCCTGCCAGGAGGGAAGGGGTCAGCGTAGCACTCCAGGGCTTGCAGGCTGACCTTTCTTTTGTCATCTGGAGATATGTGAACCTCTCCAATCTGCAGAGGTGGTTGTGTGGGGCTCAAAGTGGCTTCCCAGGCCTGCAGGATGTTCAAGGGCTCTGGGGTAGAGTTTATGCCTAAAACTGGCCTGTCTCACTTCTGGGTCAGAGGAGGAGTGCCTGGCGTGGTGTAGGAAGGCCCTGGTGCTGACACAGCTGGTTTTATCTCCCTGCAGATCGGGGCAATGACAACTGGCTCATCAAGTATGACTGTCCGCTGGACAGCGCGGGCGTGCGGGTGAGTGGCTCTTCCTGGGCAGGAGCTCTGCAGGGTGCTCTGCTCCTGCAAGCTGCCCACCTGGCAGGTGGGCTGGGGATTTCCCAGCTGGCTTGGATTTCCAAGCATGCAGAGGCCTGATCTTGCCTCCTGGGCCTTTCGTTGCGCTCTGCATCAGCAGTTTGTGGTGTAGTGGGACTTTGTGAGTATACAGGTGGGCTCTGTGGGGGGAACTGGTGCTGCTGGACCTGTGCATCCTTGGGGCGAGGCCTGGGGAGGGGATCTGCTTTGTCGTTCTATCCGCCCTTCCCCCAAAGCAGACAGTGTTTCCCTGTGCACAAGGAGCCACACGATGGGCAAGAGGCTACTGAGCCTCTGGGGTAGCCAGATCAAAGATCCTGGCAGCAGGAAGCGGGAGAGGGACTATTCATGCTGGGAGGACCTCTTTGTGACATGATGTGCTTCTCCTTCCTTCCAGGACAGTGACTGGGTGGTGGTAAAGGAGCCGATCATCAAGCTGGCTGCTATAGACAATGGTTTGGCCTTTCCCTTGAAACACCCAGATTCCTGGAGAGCATGTGAGTCCCTCAGGCTGTGCCAGGGCACCCTAGCGAGCCACACAACTCTGTGCTTGGGCATCATTCTCAAAGGCTGGAGAAGAGAGAGCTAGGGCTGTCCTTCTGCAGACTTTCTGGGTTCATGGGCAGCTCCACCACAGCAGAGGCTGTAGGAAGCGGGTGCTGGACCCTGTGTCCCAGACAAAGGTGATCTGGCACTCAGGGACATGTAGCACTATCCTTTGCCTTCCGCAGCTCTAATGTCTCATTTCCTCCCACAGATCCATTCTACTGGGCATGGCTGCCCCAGGCCAAAATCCCCTTTTCACAGGAGATCAAGGACCTGATTCTTCCCAAGATCTCGGACCCTAACTTTGTCAAGGACCTGGAGGAAGATCTGTATGAGCTCTTCAAGGTGAGCTGGGAGAGCCAGTGAGGATAGCTTGGGAGGAAATAAAACAGGGGTGGTGTTGGGCAGCTTCCCGTTGTGGCTGCAGGGGACAGAAAGGTGGCCAAGCTCCTGTTTCTGGGTTGAGGCATAGCAGGGTGATCCCTCTGCCAGAAGCTGAAGGTTCAGTGTGTGGAGAAGTGGGAAACCCATGGGACAGGAGAGAGGTTTGCTTTGGGGAACAGCCATCTCTTGCCTGGAGTGGGGCAACATGTGGATCCCACTGTGTTCTCTGCTCTCTCTGTTGCAGAAAGACCCTGGCTTTGACAGGGGACAGTTTCACAAGCAGATTGCTGTCATGAGAGGCCAGGAAAAAAAGCAGTCAGGTGAGGCACAGAATCTCGTCCTGTCTGCCCGAGGAAGGGTGCTTGGGTGGATGCTCTCTCTTGCTCCAGCAGGGCAGCTCAGGCATTTCTCTGCTGTGCCACACAGATCCTGAACCTGACTCAGGCACTGAAAGACGGAAAGAGCCCCCTGCACCTCGTTCAGATGCCACCTGTGATTGTGGAAACGGCGCGTTCCCACCAGCGCACCGCCAGCGAGTCCTACACACAGAGCTTCCAGAG